GTAATTAAGCAAATGCGCATCGAGATTTCTCTTTGTCTGGCCTCTTATTCTGTATTTCAGCGTTATTTTGTTGTGCAAATGCATTGATCATGTTCATAAAAATATGTAGATTATTTTAACCGTAAGAAATCTTGTTTTTTTTTTCTCCCAAAAATACTCACAAATAAAATATGAAATGTCGGGTTTGCTTCGGGCTCGGGCCTGCAAATCGGGCTCCGCCAGGTCGGGCTTTAATACCCTCGGGCTCGGTCGGGTCGGGCTCAATTCTCTTCTTGATCGTGAGCGCTGTCTTCACCACTCAAATCGCCGAAACTTTTACCGGGAAAGGGGGGCACGGCCGGGCTTCGTCTGTGTCGCTGGCCCCCTCGTCACTGTCGACCGGGGTCGGATTCCGCGCATCTGGTAGCGAGCGTAGCGAGGCCACTCCCCCGCAAGCGAGCATTTGCTCTGGAGCAAATTTAACCCAGCTGCATTCACACGTGCACATTTGTTCCGGCGTAGCGTCGCAAACGAGCATTTGGTCTGTAGTGAATTTTTAAACCACCTCCCTGAGGTGGATCAAATTTGGTCCGGTATAAGCTCTTTAGTGGAGCTACGTCGGAGCAAATGTGCACGTGTGAACGCTCGACTGGCTTTGCTTCGGCGCAGTGTCGGACCAAACGTTGCCGTGTGAACGTGGCTATAGTCTCTCCAGCGTGTCCTGGGTTGTCCCCAGGGCCTCCTGCCAGTGGCACATGCCCAGAACACCTCACCAGGGAGGCGTTCAGGAGGCATCCTAATCAGATGCACGAGCCACCTCATCTGGCTCCTCTCGATGTGGAGGAGAAGCGGCTTGACTCTGAGCCCCTCCCGGATGACAGAGCTTCTCACCTTATCTCTAAGGGAGAGCCCGGACACCCGAAAACTCATTTTGGCCGCTTGTATCCGGGATCTCGTTCTTTTGGTCACGAACCAGAGGTCGGGACCAAAGATGAGGGTTGGAACTTAGATTGACCGGTAAATTGAGAGCTTCGCCTTTTGGTGCAGCTCCTTTTTCACCACGACAGACCGATACAAAGTCCGCATCACAGCAGACGCTGCACCGATCCGCCTGTCGATCTCTCGCTCCCTCCTGCCGTCACTCGTGAACGAGACCCCACTTGAACTCCTCCACTTGGGGCAAGATCTCCTCCCCGACCCGGAGAGGGCACTCCACCTTTTTCCGACTGAGGACCATTGTTTCAGATTTGGAGGTGCTGATTTTCATCCCAACCGCTTCACACTCGGCTGCGAAAAGCTCCAGTGAACGATTATTTGCTAAAACAAAGTTTAGCAGTTTGAACATGAAAATCTTGTCTTTGTAGTGTATTTTGGTGTTTAAAAGCGTGCTTGGGTAAATGCGGGAAACACCTCCACCCTGAAAGACAAGCAGACCTACACGCTGAGCTCAGGGAACAACAGATTGGCCTACCGTGCATGCTTTCTGGAAATTATCTGATCCTTTTGACTCATTTTTCAAGGGCGACAGATTTTTGTGGGTTACGACGATGTAAACATGGGAGGTACCGATCGGAATCTCTTCTTTAAGTAGGGAAAAAAAAAGTATTCTATCTTATTCTGTTCTTTAGTACTTGCCATATGAAAATATGTGATTTGAATGAAACTTGGACAATATGAGGAGAAAACTAACTTTTTGTGAAAAGATTAATTCTCTGCACAACAGCAGCTGGGTTTCCATTGCCCTCAGAAATGTGAAAAATGCAACTTGCGCAATAGCAAACCGGTAACAGAAACACCTCTCAAATATTGCAAACATATTTTTACTCTTGCCAGTTGGTTTTTGAGACGTGTTGAAATGCAATATCTCGCAAAGTGTAAGGGAAAGACATTTTTTGCATTTCTGCGAATTACAGGTATGTGACGTTCACGTTCAACAGGTGAGACCCAGCCCAGCCAGCAGCAACACGATGTCTGGCATCCACACCGACGACGGCTGATACATTGTTTTCATTGGGGGGATCATTAAGTGCTCTTAATGATCCCCCCAATCATCATTCAAATCTTAACGACACCATCTCTAATTGGGGTAGAGACGGACGGATGGACTTTGGTTGCTAGAGATTAGGGATCTTTCGATACCACTTATTCAGACCAATACCAGTACTACGACTAAATTTTTCAGCCGTCACAGATACTGAGTACCGATACCACTGGTACTTTTGATATACAACATTTCCGCCAAAGCAATGACACCATTTTAAAGAACGGCATATACAGGTATATCCCAATACAGTATTTTTTTTCCTAAAAAATCTCTTTCCGTGTGTTCATAAAATATATAATCCACACAATTAAATGAATTGAAATCTATAAATAAATTAAAAAAAAAAAAGACACAAACAACCCATTGGCCAGAAAATGTCCCCATCAAATTATGTTGTTGTGTAACTTCCTTTCAAGGAATACAGTGAAGTGCAAAGAATGGAACTGAATACAGCGTTTTTTCCAAAAACATTTAGGAATACCTACCATACTCGAACCCGTGTTTTGGCAACACAAGTATGTCATCCTTTGATTCAACTGTGGTGTCTCAGGTGAACAGTGGGTTCACTCCCGAAATTACGTACATACTTTAGAAGAAGAAATTTGATGACGTCTCGTAGCACTCTGTTGAGCTGAAAATAACCTCACTGAAAAAAAAAATATGAGTTGGAATGTTACAACACAGACCACACCTGAATGTCCGCTACAGGACAAGACAGCGACCCCGGCCCAGTTGAAAACTATTTGCGGCGAGCAATTGCTTTCTCCTGGGCTGATTGGAAGCTAGATGCTAATGCGAGCTGTAAATACGTGCATGGTTTAGCAAGTAAACTTTCCACAGAAGTTTGTCTGGAATCCCATTCAAACAGAACGTAATCAACACTGAACAGAGAGTAGAGAGTGCCTTGAGATAGTACCGGAACAGAATAATGCAAAAAAAAAAAAAAAAAAAGTCACGTTATGGCATACATCTGACAGGAAGTGGCATATAAGATAAAAAGTATAATAATATAGTACATTGAATATTTATAATACCGGCAATGTTATTTATTTTCACAATAGAGTCCTGAGTTTTGGCTTTATCTTTTGAGATCTGCTCAATAAATGCTCTCAAAATTACACTACTGGCACTTAGATGTTTTATTTCTGTATTTATTTTAAAATCAATCTAGCTTTGCGAAAACACTATTCAACCCACTCAGAAACACTCATTTTAAACGGAAAATTGTATGTGTTTGAAATTGCCCCAATGAAATTTTTTCTTGACAAAGTTTTGCGCGATTCACAATTAAATTTTTATATATATATATATATATATATATATATCCCTAACGCCATTTGTAAAACGAGAAACACAACACATAAAAATGCAAATGAGAATGCATGCGCAGAGTAGCTCGTAAAAATGAATTACCCCCTTTCAGTGATACACCTCTGCCAAGAATACACGGTTGACCTCGCACTTTGAAGGAATCTCTCGTCAGTTATTAAATGTTCCCAAGCTATGGCACCGAATGGCACAACAAAAGTCAAACTTTCAGGTCATTTTTGCACATATGTGAGGACAAATGCATGGGACAAAATGTCTGTGAAGATGAGGGAAAAAAATATTGATGATGACGTAAGAACAGGAAATGGAACTTATCTCAACAGTGTCCTGGCTGCTCAGTACAACATAAACAATACACCATTTCGTAGAGGGCTCGTCCTCCTTATGGTCATCCTCAGCTGTCTTTGGGCAAGAGGCGAGTGGTTAGCTAGTGACTCATCGATCTG